AATAAAATTATTATGAATTATGAAATTTGAATATTCAATTTTTGCATTATTTTATGAGTTTTCCATTATTTAAAATGACCGTCACTTTTTAAAATGTTTCCATGAAATTTAGTATAGGAAAATAGTGAAAGATAAAAATGAGTTTATTTTTTACGCAAAACATGGGTCATTTAAAGTTATAACAAGAAAGGTAAAAAAGTCATAATTTTTATGTTAGTAGAGATTTTGCTTTTTGAAACCCCACATTATTTACCGTTAAAAAGATAGACTTGTTGCACTCTCAGTAGACACTGACTATTTAACAGATATAAATTGTAAAAAATATTTAATGCAGTTACAAAATTACCACATAAATGTAGCGTAAAATTAAAATATATTTTTTCTTAGGAACTACGTATTTTATCGATATGGAAGTATAAATTCCTTATAGCAAATAAAATGATGTTTCAGAGAAAATCCGCCTTTTCTCAAAATCTGTCAACAAGAAAAATTTAGTAAAAAAAACAAATGACTTTCAGGTGTTGTTTACGGCCTATTTATATTAGGTAAAAAATAGACCTATATTCATCCTCGACTGCCCTAAAAGTACCTTTACATGTCCAATTTCATTGAGTCGGTCGGTGGCCGAGCGGTACTTGAATCGATGTTGCCACTACCGGGGGTTCAATTCCAGTGACCGGAAGACCATGGATTATTTTGATGGAATGAGTCACCCTTTCTAAGGATATGGTGTTTGCACTTGTTCTTGTCGAGATCCTGTCTCGCTACAGCAGTGTTTATCTGTTTCCGGATCCGTTCGAATTTCCTCGTGTGTTTTTAATTAACCATAAAATCTCGCTCAATTAACCATACTTATGGTTATCATTCCATAATAGTGGACTATATTTGATTTCTATTAAATAAAGGAAACCTTCTTTTTTACACACATATATTTAACTTTACAACAATGTGTACTTCATGAGTATATACCGGGTGGGGCATTTATCTTGCGACAAAATAATATCTCGGTTGGCCTCGATTATTTCGAAAAAAGTTTCAGACAAAAATTGTAGGGCACCGAGGGGGGCATTGAAAGGTCCATATTACGACTTCTGGTCTAGACCGGAAGTGGCGTTTTTACATCGGAAGTTGATTTTTTTTAATAGAAACATCCATTTTTTACCATGGATTTCGACTGAAAAACGAAAAACAATCGCTTTTTGTTCTTATTATTTTTTTGTTTTAACCCATATTTTGGCCATAAAATGGCCATAAAAACAAAAAAACTAGAATCTTGAGACAACGGAGTATCTTGTTGGGATCACTTTTTTTTAAATGTTACTTACAAAAGTTGTAGAGTGAAAAGGAGGCTACCTTGCCATGACCTTGAAAATGACCTCAACCAACGTCGTCAACGTCGTTATTCCTGAGTAGTGCTAAAAGTAGTTAATAATTATACAGTTTTTCGACCTTAAAATGACCTTGATATCTGATCTTGTTCTTGAGTTTAAGTTCATATCTTATTGTAAAACTTCCTGCTCTTGTAATTTCCGAGGTCAAACAAGATGGTCCCACTTAAAATTTTGAATTTAATCTTTAAACAACCTTGGAGTCAAGGTTAAGGTAATTTTCAAGGCCATGTCAGGATAGCCCCTACAACTTTTATATGAAACATTTTTTTAAAAAAAGTGATCCCAAGAAGGTACCTACGTTGTCTCAAGATTATTGTATCTTTTGTTTTTTATGGCCATTTTATGGCCAAAATATGGGTTAAATCGAAAATAATAAAAACAAAGAGTTTTTTTTCGTTTTTCAATTGAAATCCGTGATAAACAATGGCTGTCCATTTAAAAAAATCAACTACACCACTTCCGGTCTAGACGGGAAGTCGTAACTTTTCAACGGCCCCTCGGTGCCCTACAATTTTTGTCTGAAACTTTTTTCTAAATAATCGAGTCCAACCGAGATATTATTTTGTCTCAAGATAAATACCCCACCGACTTACTTAAAAATACTACACACCGAGTATGAATAAGCGTCCGCAACACGTTAGAACTACCATCAGATACATTCACGATGTGTTGTATATTTAATATGCTGTATATTTAATCCCAAATATCAGAATTTTGAATCAATTTTGTTTTTCGATGCACCGCTGTCAATAATAGTAGGGATTATTTTCACTGTAGTATTCGAGCCGCCAGGAATTAAACTACAAAACATTTCCTGGCACAAGTATCAGTAGGAAGAAATCACAACCGAAGATGGACTAGTGAAATTAATTATCATTATAAATTAATTATTCTTAATTTCTGTTAATTACTGTTATGTAGATTAAATAGTAGATAAAAAATTATATGTTATTTCCAATTAAAACGAAAACTTACTTCTAGTACACACTATTTTATTTATTAAAAAATCGTATGGATATAGAGGTAGAATCTGTTGTAGGGCCTTCCTGTATTTCAAGTATTCTACTATTGCTCGAGTTGACCTTGTAGCTTGCAATATTTAAGTCATATCAGTTCGATTAATACTAATTCTAGTTTCCACGAACGACAGCAATAAAAACATTTATTTGTATGGTATGTGTTGTAAGAAATTAACAAAAATATATTTATAGGTGAGTTTATATTCAAAATTTTACCATTAATTAGTTTGTAACTCCTCTAAATATATTGATGTTTGCTATAAAATTATTTGGTACGAATACGAAATACGAATAAAGAATTTTCTCTAAGAGGTAATTCCTTGGGTATTTTTGGACCAAAAAATCTTCGTGTGCCTGATATTCAAGACATGAGATATGGAAATAAAAAAGAAATTACCTTTATGCGAATGTCACTGCAAGATAGACAAGGCGAAAACCTCTCATTCGTGGGAGAAATTTTCCGACTCGATTTTTTTGCATATTCAGATTCGTAAGATGTTCCTTAATATGAATCAAGATGATGCCGGTCGGAAATCTGGTGCCCAGTTTTTTTCACTTAGGATTTTTTTTTTAGATTTTTTGACACATTATAAACAAAAAGTTCCTATGCACTATGCCTCTAAAATTGATGGTTTTAAAGTTATAAACAATTTAAGTTGCTAAAAATGTGAAAATGACGATTTTCAACGGCCGATTTCCGGGTTAAAAATTGTTATTTTTGATGTTGCCCGGTACCTAAATTAAAGTTTAAACATCCCCCTACAAGATGCTGAAGAGTTTTTGGGTCTCGAATTATTCTAAAGCCTTGTTTTTTAATTGTTATTTCGTCTAGCGGCTTCAGCTTATGTTTTATGTCTGAATTAAGCAACGAAAAGTTTGATGCATTGCAAAGATTATACCTAAAAATATTAAATAAGCAAGGCAAAACAGCCGATGAAGCTAGAAAAATAATTTTATGTCATTGTAGCGGAATGGGTATTAATTTAAGTAAAATACACTTCCGATGTACTGAAATTACACGTCTTGAGAGCTTCTTTACAAACGTACATATGAAAAAGTTCTATTTTTCTTCAATATCAAAGTTTGGATTTCACAGCTTTTGGTTGTCAAAATGAAACAGGTGAATTACATATTATCTAAATTTATTACCAAAGATCCATTACCCAAAGACTTAGTTAAACAATGTAAATGTACAAGAAACTGTAAGACTAAAGCTTGTTCTAGTATGAAAAACTATGTCACTTATGTACCTTTATGTGGTCGTAACATAGAACAGTGTGAGAATTCTTATGATTGAATAAATGTGTGATAATAATGATAATATGCAGTATTAAATAAATGTTCTTTAATAAAAATCAAATGTATTCGATACTATTGCCCTTTTATTTTTTTTCTGCACTCTATTCGTACNTTCGTCGCGACCCCACAGACGTCTTTCGCGTTTGGCGTGAAATTATTTTGACATAATTAATCTGACGTTTCTAAAGACATTCGAATTTTCTCCGGGTGGGCGTGTCTTAAAGCTTCAATCTTTACGGCTTGTGAAATGGTCGTCTGTCGTCGAGCGGACCCCAAAAAGAAGGCAAAATTAAATATGAAAAAGCGAAAAGAACGTTACAAAAATGCCCCCGAACGATTAAAGATGATCGAATGGACATCTCGTGCTCAGTCGCACGCCGTTCTGCGGTTTGCGGAAAAAGAATCCTGTGTGGCAAAGTATACGTTTTCCAGCCGGCGAGCGGGCGCATTTTAACGTATTTACGGCCGCATTTCGAATCCCGCGCGTGATTTCGCGGAAAGTTCTACATGAAAGGTTTGAAAAAGGCATCCGGTCGATAAATATGAGTATTTTCCGCGCGGCTTTAAATAAATAACGTAGGTAAAATGGGTAAAATAAAAACTAAATAGAGGAAACCGGCGGGGCGATCGTCAGGTTTCATCGGAAAGTAGGCGTGTCGGACTATCGCCGTTCACACAAAAATTGGGTCACGCCCCTCGCAGAGCCCGAGGAAAACTCAAAATTCACCTCGAAGACGACAAAAAATCGCCATCGAAATACGCCGTTCGGACGGAGGAAGGCAGGCGGGGGGCTTCGCCCCCCGCGAGTCGCCGCCGCGCGGCTCCCCCGAAAAGCCTATGTGGCAATAAGTCGGCGCTTTTTCGCGCCGATCGTGCGACGCAGACGGAGCTATCAGATTTTAATATATATTGATTATATGATTAGCCTAAGCTTCATCAACCTAAATAAAAAATATTCACAGATATTCCAATAACACTATATGTCTTGAAAACCAGTGGCTTTTCACCTTTAATTTATTAAGACTTTTTAGTTTAAAATAACCCAAGAAACAAATTGGTAGTAGGCGATGGAAAAAGTTGTTTTCATCGCCTACTGAACTCAAAGTTTTAAGTCCGTGACAAGGCTACGCAAACCGAAACATACAAACCTGCAAATAACGCCATTTTTCTCAAGAATGGTTTTCTGTAGGCGATTTTCTCAAGAGATATTTGTTTTTAATAAAACGACTTTTCAATGTTGTTTCCCGTTTAAAAAAACATGACCACTGTAAAAATTTTGATCGCTAAAAGGAGGAAGTAACCGGAGAAAACTATACCCAGTATATCGATTTGACTAAAGCTTTAAGAAATAATACCCCATAATAGTCCAAACATATGTGCAATACGCGATCGGTAAAAGTTAGGATTATAAAGTTATTAATTAAATTAGTTTTATTTTTGACAATTTTGAAGACCTGTAACTCAAAAACCAACAATTTTTTATTTAACTCTTTTTTCGTAAATCGTATTTATTTATCGTCGTGAATATGCAGTTAAACGTTGTCGGTGAAATTTTCGAACACCCTGTATATTGTGTTGGAACTTGTACTTACTTTTTTTCGGTGACGTAGAAATGGAGTAAATTAATGTGTCATGTAGTTTTATATTTTTTATAAAAAATATGTTGCTAAGTTTATTTGTATATATGCTTTCTGTATATCAGCATACCGAATGTATCAACCACAATAATCAGAAGCAGGTAAATGCTATTAACAAACAAATATAATTTGTTGCTATAAAATATGCAGTTTAACAGAAAACAATTATCGTAAAGAAACTCAATGACAAAGATCAATTTTAATTTAAAGAGAACAGATAAAACAAATTAACATGAAACAATGGAAAATTAAATGAGGCTAAAACATAGCGTAGTTTTAAAGAAAAATTGTTGGCATTATATTACCGTATAATACAATGTTTGGCAATTGCTTCATTATTGGCAGTTACTGCTCCTAAACATAGTGGCTTGAAATTTATAACAATAGAAATCACATATTCATCTAAATTTTTCCACTTGTCTAGAGCAGAATCTCTCAGTTCAAAATAATTTCTAAGATGAATATTGCATCTACAATTTTTTTACTAATAAACCCAGGCGTTCTTAATGGGATTTAAATCTGTAGAAGGCGAACTTAAAATGTTAATATTATTTCCTCTAAGCCGGTTTCAGACTACATTCAAACATTCTCATGTTGAAATTCTCCATGAACCTGTCGCACAGATTTCGCATTATATTTTCCTAAATATTTACACGTTTAGAATACAGTTGTTATGATTTGTTGTTATTATTTATACCTATTAAATTAATAAATTTATGGTGGGTATAATTTTATTTTTTGATTTTCCTCTTATCATTGCATTTTCTAATGTAATTAATGTATTGTGAACTAAGGGCCCTTATAGACGAGAAAATTGATAATAACTTTTTTATTTTCAGCAAAGAACTGTTTTTCAATACAATTGTCTTTTTGCCTTTTTTTCGCACTTTTTGTCCTAAAATGGGCCTTCCAAATTTAGACATCAGATTTATGTCCAGCATCCAAAAATAGATAGAAAATCATTTTTCTAGGTAAAAATCGGGATAGAGTCAGTATTCTTCATATTTACCAAATGTAGTATTAAGACAACTGCATAATCAATTTAAAAGAGATTTGTCCCTGTGATTACAATAAAATCTATAAGAAATGAGAGGTCTGATCTATAAACAAATAAAAAAATTTTTTTCGGCATATGTAATCTTTTACTAATAATTGATTAGCTGATTATGAACACTGAAAATAATAAATGGAATTTCAACGGAAAATATTTTTTAAAAAGCCTCCAATTAAAAAAGCCTATACGGTCATTTATAATTTTGATACATTTTTATAGTAAGTGTAGTTTGTTACCAAATAAATGTACCACATTTGAAAGGAATCGTTTAATTGAATAATGTTAACTTAGTTAAACAATAATCAGAATTTATTACGAAAAATATTTAAAGATAAATATACCAAGGTGTTTACTAATATTACCTAATATAGAAACTTTTCAATACTAAGTTCATTACTACAGTAAATATACCTATTAAAACTACCAAACAACAAAATTTTATTATGTACAATTCATGACCGAAATAAATGTACTATTTAAAATTACATTAAAATATGAAAACAGAAAAGTATCCTAAAAATTGAATTATTAAAGTAGTTGTATTAATAGGTACTAGAAAACATAGAGTTTTTCGTTACAAATAGATATTTTATTCTTTCAAATTGTTTCAGATTTCGAGGTACATACCTGGATGCTATGCATATTATAATGAATATAATATTTGTTACATTTATAGTTATCTTACGATTTTCAGTAGTAACTTCAGGTAAGAAATCAATTATTATCTTAATTTTTTTCTAAAAATTATTGTGCAGTATAGTAGTATGAAAACAGTTTAGCAAAATACCATTTTCAAGAAATTGTCCTCCGAATTCTCAAAAAATAAGTTATTTGCGTATATTATTAAGGATTGTGACATCATTGGAGGAGCTAGTCTGTATACTGGAATTTATAACCCTATTTCGGCCCCTTGAACACGAGTTTGAAGTCAATTTGGCGTCAGCACCCACTATTTTCGATCCACCAATTCAATAAAATGTTTTTTTCTAATTAGCACTTTCGCTAGCGAACTTTTTAGCCTTCAAGAAATATATACAGTAAATGTTTTATCTCTAATCTCACACTGTCTTTTCAACATCCAACAGTAGTCCTTCATAATATATCACGTCCCACTTATTCTGATACTACCACTTTATTTAAATCTTGATGAAATCGTTCACCTTCCTCTTCGCTATAGTCACCGAAGTTATGGGGAAAGTAATTCACGGGGCAGATAAGGAAACTATTTAATAGAGCAAAGCAGACAGGAGAGTGGGAGGCTTATAGAGCAACCCTCACTGAGTATAATAAAGAAATTAGAAGAGCGAAGAGAGACTCATGGAGGAAGTACTGTGGGGATATTGATAGTGTCCCACAGTGTGTTAAACTCCAGAGACTTCTCTCTAAGAACGATAATACGAAACTCGGGGCTCTTAAAACACCGAGTGGAGCATACACTAAAACTGGAAGGGGGACATTGGAGCTACTTCTAAATACTCCAGGCTCCAGATTACTAAACCACGGGGATGAACATGACTGGGATCACCAGCAGAGGGTAACGACCGGGTCTCGACAGAACTGGGAGGTTGTCCAAGATAGTGGTGAGGCAGTCACGAATAAGATAGACAATAAGTCCCTTTGATCCATTTAAATCACCAGGTGCTGATGGAATTCTACCCGTACTGTTACAGCAGGGGTGGTCTGTCTAGCTCCGGTTTTAAATCAAATCTACAGAGGCAGCATTATACTTGGTTATATACCGCTGGCATGGAGATCGACGAACGTGGCGTTTATTCCTAAGCCAGGGCGTCCATCGTATGCCCAGGCAAAGGCATATCGCCCAATAAGTTTAACATCTTTCGTCCTGAAAACCTTGGAGATAATAGTTGATAGGCATATAAGGGATAGGGTGTTGAGGGCAAATCCTCTGCACAAGCACCAATATGCAGCAAGATCAGTCGACACAGCCCTTCATAACCTAGTCTCTAGGATAGAGAATGCAATGAACGATAAAGATCTAGCCTTGGCAGCTTTTCTAGATATTGAAGGGGCATTTGATAATACACCCTTCGAATCTATAAATTCGGCATTTCGCAACAAGGGCCGTGATGACACTTTGTGTCGTTGGATAGATACCATGTTGAGAAACCGGACAGTAACAGCCACCCTTTCGGGAGAGACATCCAGTAAGCCGGGGCTGCCCCCAAGGAGGCGTACTGTCTCCCTTGTTATGGGGATTAGTGGTGGACGGCGCACTGGAGGGCCTTAATCGAAAGAGATTTTATACACAAGGCTATGCGGACGACTTAGTCGTTCTCATAGTCGGGGGACATAATTTTATCGTTTCAGAACTCATGAATGAGGCCTTCAAATGGATAGATGACTGATGTAAGGGGCACGCACTGTCAGTAAACCCATACAAAACGGTCGTAGTATCCTTTACTAGGAGAAGAAATTTGACTGGACTCTTTGAACTTATAATAGGGGAGAAGTGCAGTCGGCTTTCCAGGGAAGTAAAATATCTAGGAGTGATACTGGATAGTAAGCTTACCTGGAATGCACACTTGGAAAAAGTGGTGAGTAAGGCGAAGCTGACATTGTGTGTATGCCGTCGCCTTATTGGAAGCACCTGGGGGCTGAAGCCAAAAATGTCATATTGGATGTATACATAGATAGTAGGATTCTTTATGGCGCTGTGATATGGTGGCAAATAACACAACAGACTACAGCGAAGGAAAAACTGAATAGAATTCAGAGACTGGCCTGCCTATGTATAACGGGGGCGATGGCATCGACCCCGACAGCTGCGCTAGAAGTCATGCTAAATCTACTACCGCTGTGGTGGAAGGAAAAGCGCGGTTAGCAGCATATCGACTCAGGAATAACAACGACTGGAGGGGTAGTTTCTATTCCAGGATCATGGACACATCTATGTCGGAACTAACTCTTGGGATGGTATCTGACGGGATGGTTCCACGGTTTCACTTCCACAAGCCATTTGAGACTTGGATAGAGGATCAAAGCAAATGGGAGAGGAAAAGTTTGTTACCCTGAAAAGATGGAGCCTTGTATGGTTTACGGATGGCTCCAAAATGGCCAGAGGGACGGATGCTGGAATATATGGACTCAGATGGAGTGCAAACTACAGTCTGGAGGCGTTTCCTACGGTATTCCAAGCAGAAATTTTCGCGATAATGGCGTGCCTGGCAGAGACTGCTGACTGAACTAGCCACCAATAATACAGTTAGACTGTGTTGGGTGCCAGGGCACAAAGACATTTGTGGGAACGAAAAAGCGGATGAACTTGCTAGGAAGGGATCCGAGACAGAGTACATCTCCCAATGTGGTCAGGCGGGCTCTGGGCAAATGGACCTAGACAGAATATAGGAAATACTGGACTTCAAAGCCATTCTAAGGAGCTCATGGAGTATCTTTCGAAGGAAAGAGCAAACGATTTACTGAGTTTGAATAAAATCCGACTCAGAAAAGTGACGGGACTCATAACGGAACACTGTCACTTTAGGGAACATCTACATACATAAGCTAAAGCTTGTTGACAGTCCGGTCTGCCGAGGATGTGACTCGGCGGATGAAACTTGCATATCCTGGGCGAGAGGGATAATAGAATGACGCTCCTGAGGGGACTCTATTTGGAACCCAAGGAACTGAGAGATGTGTCAGACAGAAACTTTTGAACTTTGTTAAAAGGACAAAACTACTTGCTGAATAGGACTAGTAGTGGGACGCACAATAGGCCTAATTAGGCCGCGGTCCCATGGGACTATCAGGACCAACGGCTAGGGAAGGAAGAAGAAGAAGAATTCACGTAATCCAAATTCTCTGAAATTCTCCCCCATTTCCGCGATTATAGTTTTATTATTGTGATTTTCTGTTAATTTTTGTATGTGTGGTATATTTTGCCTGTGAAGTAAGCAAATCCTTAAATGGAACTTGTAAAGGCTCTTGAGTAACGTTAAAAGATTCTGGATTCAGATCTCCGCTGTTAGGCCTAGTTCTTTGCTCATTGTAATTATTCTATCTCTACTGTCCCATAAACATAGAAAAAAGAAATACTTGGTAAATCCTGATTGCTGTCAAAAAGTAGTAGCAATGATTTGAAGATTTCAAATCTCCATAAATTCGTAAGTTATGCTTATTATATCTTATTTTTTGCAAGGCATATTTCATACTCTCATCGTTTTCTTTCAGGTTTGTTGGTTGTGGTAATAGAACTACCTTCAAGCTTCGTTTTGAAGAGTGAATGAATAACACTTACTCCTTGTAATTAATTAATTAATTAGGCCTTTAACTACCTACATACCCTCTTCATCTAAAGAAAAATATTTTATTAAAACTTCTTTTACGTGATCGATATATATCCTTCAGATGGAAGATTTTTCTTCTTAAATCTTCTAACTAAATATTTAACTCAATCTTTTGATAAACCTAGATTGCGAATAACTTAACTATTAAACGTTTACGGAGGTATGCGCACTCGTCGAAGCTCATATTCATTCTTTCCATACCTCTTATCCAGACACAAGGCCCCAACATTCATCAACTTGTTACCAACAGTTGCCAACATTTTGTTGGTCAGTCTCTACTTACTTCAAGAGATACTGAGAATGATTTACTTGTAAAATGTCTATCACTGTTTTTCTGTATTTTAGATAAATACAAAAATTTGCCGCCTGTATTCAAAATGGAGGATTACATGGAGTGCATAGAGAAAAATCATTCGTATTGCAAGATAAATGCTATTTTAAAGAACAGAGGATATGAAAACAACTATCTATGGAACTTGATTAATGTAAATTATAAAGATACATTTATTTGAAGTTAATCAAAACTAAAAAAATTACTAATATATACATTTTTCAGGATTCTATTAATGATAAAAACAGCTATGATCGCAGTATTATTCATAGGGTCATATGCGTTCCAAAGAAAGAAGCTCTTGATTTACAATCAGCTAAAAAGTTTGCTGAATTACATCTAAATGAAGAAATTAAGGAAACTAATTTATTTGCACTAGTAGAAGAAATTATTTGTACCGCAAAAAATAAAGTTAAAATAATTGAATTTTACGATCAACTACTACTGTAAGTTTTTTTATGTGAATTTCTCTAAATGGAAAGAATTTATTATTTGATGATTTCAAAATAACTTGAAAATAAAATTATGGCAGATATCTATTTAAATTTACTGATTTTTAGGTTTTCGTTAGTGGTATATATGTCTTTAATTTTATACGCTACGGTATACGACAGACTGAGAGGAAATTGTTCAAGTAAAAACGCTAGTAAGTTTTTTTAACATAGGTATACCAAATAAATTTAATTCATTAAATTGCTTATATTAGAAGTGCAAATTAAATTTTATTATTCTTAAAGAAATTTTAAAAATTTCCTGTCACTCTATTTTGTACGTAAGTAATAACTTTATTTATATTAGTTAATAAAATAAACTAAACAAAAAACATTGTTAATAAATACATGTTTTCTTTTCATTTTCATGTTCAACATCTTAGTTGTTATAAGCGCGAAATTTATATCCTTGAAATATATGACCAACAAAAATATTAAAAATTTCTTGTTAAATGTACCTAGATATTTTTCTCATAGTAGTATTTGCAGTCAAATAGGTTATGAGTGGAAAAACAATGTACCATAAGGTAGAAAATAATATTTATTTATTTAGCAATCCCTAATTGTACTATTTTGTAGAGAACAAGGTTTTAATATCATTATCATTAACTTCAAATTGGAGAAAAATATGTAATATTGAAGGAAATGAGGATTATAACAAATTAAAGTCAATCCAAGGAATTCGGTTTTACAACATGTTACTAATTCTTTGTTTACACACATTATTTAGTTCTGTATCGATCTACAACTCAAATCCTAATGAAGTTGAAAAAGTAAGTAGATATACATATTTATTTTAGAAAGAACAAAAATAAAAAAGTCAACCTGCATTTTATGGGTTTTTTAATATAAAAAATGAAAAATTTGCCATTTTCCAATAATTCAAAATATACGTATATAATTATTACATAATAACAATTATTATTGTTATATATTTTATAAATACCTTGTATATAGATTAATGTAGAATAGTGCATGTTTTTTAAGATAGATATTGATTTTGTCTATTTTATTTCTTTTACTTTTTTGTACAACGCTCGATATAAAAGAGTAAATTTCAACGTTTTTTGATGGCATGTTATCACTGTGTGTTGGGAAGGAAATAAAATTAAGTAGTAAAAATCTACGATTTTCATTTATAATTACTCCAAGATATTGCAATTATAATTGAATATTCCTAAATAAATAAGCAGGTAATCTTAATATATTGTAATGCTAAAAATTATAAACAAAAACTCTTAACCCACAGTTCTCCACAAAATAATCTGGAGTGCTAGGTATTTTAATGTTATGTTAAATCAAAACAATTATATTTAAATATGCTATTATTTTGTTGATATTTCAGCTGCTCAATTCTACACCATTGCAAATTTTTGAAGTTTTAGGAGTTTTCTTAGTGCAGACGTTTTTCCTAATATCTTCTTTTATTGTAACTTTTCAAATATATAACATTTATGAGGATCATGGAAAGTTCACTATTAAACAGGCTCTTGATGTCATTATTAATAGGTTCTTTAGGTAAGAATTAAAGTGCATAGTAACGTGATGTTTATATATTTTTTGCCTTTTTGCTCATATATCATAAATGGTAGATAGAACTTCTACTAACAATAAGAGAAATGTAATTCTATTACAAATATGAAGATGTAATATTTCAACATATTGTTCTTTCTCCCAAAAACGTATCACAATGCTTTTACATAAACCAACCATTTATATTCAGGTAAAACAGGTTATGGTTATGTAATAGTACTTTTTGTTCATTAAAAAATACATCCATATCGTCAATTTTAAAAGAATTTTAAATCCCAAAGAGTCATCTGAAATAAATTTTCATTCATCTGCAAGAATGCTGGTTTTTAATTTTCTATTTGCAAATATACATATTTGTAGGATTCCTCCCAATTACTGTATGTAGGTCAGCCAAATTAAATTGTAAAAATACGTTACAAGTAAGAATTTTTACATTTTTTAGGATCGGAGTATGTACGACTGTAATATTACTTTTTATGAAAACTTCTTGGCATAAATTGACTGAGGGACCTCATATTTTTTATATCTATGATATGTTTCAAAAAGGATGCGAACAAAACTGGTGGAAAACTTTTTGCTTTGTGAATAACCACTTGTATTTTGGAGATATGGTAAGTACAATTTCTGGATCATCTCTGGTACATTACGCGGGGTAATAATGAACTTATGTCAATATTTTCTGTCACATATCAACAGTGTTAATGTAAACCAATAAAATCCATTTTTAGTTGGCCAACATTTCATTTTAAAAATTAGGCTACCTCAATATTATTGAGTTGACTTTTGGGAACTGGTGATTTCACAATTTTTTAATAATAAATCCATGTTTAGCTACCATTACAGGAAGACAAAAATAACTAACTGGAAACCACAAGTAGGGATCTTTATGGCATGATTAATATACACTCACTAAGTATTTTACTATCTAGGTAAATTTGCCGCCTTAAGGGCTGTGGTGGTATCAAAGTTGTTTTCTGCGGTTTCACACATATTTTTTACAACATATGAAAGGTCTCGTTTTTCTCAACAACTTTTATGAAAATGTTTTTTGACGTCTCTTCCCCTTTAAAATATACAGTACGCGCCTAAAGTATGGAATAAATTCAGTAAAATCGAAACAAATTTTTTTTGGGAAAAATCCTCGAGCAGGTCGATTTTTAATTCAAAAAATACATATTTTAACATAAAAGGCGATTTTCAACCGTCATTTGTTTTCGAGTAATGACGTCATCGACATTTTTTTTAAATAACAACCCCCTATTTTTTTTCTTGATTCTGAAAGATCGTTTCATTGTCGATCCGACAGTATTAAAATGTTGCCATCTTACATAGGAAAGTTTTCAAGTAAATGACGATTGAATGTTAGAAAACCCAAATCAATTAAAATAAAGTAAAAACGTTAACAAATTTAATTTTTCGAAATGCCTGAAGTTTTTTATGGATCACGTAGGTGTATAAGTCTTTATAAAGTGTCACTACCATACCGGTTTTCCAAGTTTTGTAAGCGATATAAAAATTATTTGAAGATCACAAACAGAACATTTTGATAAGTATGGTAGATAATCCTCATAATACTTCATGATTGGTTGCATTAACCAATAAAGTTAGTCAGACCACAGTGATACGTATCCTGAGGAGGGAAAAATATCATCCCTACAAAATTCAACTTGTGCAGGAACTCAATGAAAACGATCCCGACCGCCGCTTTCACTTTTGTAAAATTATGATGGATTTATGTCAAGTAAATAGAGATTTACACCGGCAAATACTTTTTTCAGACGAGGCCACGTTTTGTCTCAATGGTACAGTAAACCGTCAAACTTGCAGGTATTGGAGTCGGGAAAATACTCATTGGATGGCAGAGACACATACCCAACACCCACAGATATTAAATGTGTGGGCTGGAATAGTTGACAACAGAATAGTAGGGCGGCCTTTCTTCTTTGAAGGAACCCTTACAGGAGAAATATATTTAGTTTTTACAAAATGACCTTGTTCCAGCGCTTGCAGTAATTTCTCCTAACGATAATGACCCTGATATTCCTGATGACACCATATGGTTTCAGCAAGACGGTGCACCTCCGCACTATGCGCGCCCTGTTCGAGATTTTCTGGACAATTGTTTTCCTAGGAGGTGGATCGGCAGACGAGGACCGATAGAATGGCCCGCGAGATCCCCAGATCTTACACCCCTGGACTATTTCTTATGGGGCTACTTAAAGTCCAAAGTGTACGTTAATAGACCACATAATTTAGAAGAACTCCAAAATTGTATTATAGATGAAATACACAGAGTTACCCCAGAAATAATTCATAATGTGCAAGAAGAATTTCTACACAGACTTGCGTATTGTCAAGAAGTCGGTGGGTGGCAATTCGAACACTTAATTTAGGTAGAAAACTTAATGAATTGTATTTGCTTGACATAGGAATTGTTATTTTTTTAATGAATAAAATTTACGTTTTCTAACATTCAATCGTCATTTACTCGAAAACTTTCCTATGTAAGATGGCAACATTTTAATACTGTCGGATCGACAATGAAACGATCTTTCAGAATCAAGAAAAAAAATAGGGAGTTGCTATTTAAAAAAAATGTCGATGACGTCATTACTCGAAAACAAAATCGCCTTTTATGCTAAAATATATATTTTTAAAATTAAAAATCGACCTGCTCGAGGATTTTTCCCAAAAAAAATGTGTTTCGTTTTTACTGAATTTATTCCATAATTTAGCGCGTACTGTATAATAGAAAACCGCTATTTTGAACAAGCCTTTTACTAATTTTATCAACGTTGGAAAGTAAGAAAATTCTAATGTTTACATTTCATTGTAGAATATATCATTTGCTTCTACATTTTGAAGGATAGAATATCAGCAAAAATCAGAACGATCTCTCATTTTTCATTTTTTTAATGGTTGTGTTAATTTTCCCGTTAATTATTTTTTTATTTTAGTAATGAATATAAACATTGTTTTCCACGGCAACGCTATCAAAGTCAGTACAGACTTGGTATCTTCAATTTCTCAACACATATCGTCTTACATCTTTTGAAAGAAAGAGATAGGGTAAAAGTTTTTTAAGAAAATTTGTTCGGAATAAAAGATGATTTTCACTTGGTATTTAAAAAAGTATTTATGATATTCAGAAAAATAATTTACTCCTAACTTACCAAGATGGAATTTTAAGTCAAATGTATTCTGAGTCCAATACGTACATTAAAAAATAGTAAATACAGGGTGTGCTCAATTTTAACAACAGATTCAGAAAAAGAAAAAATAATAGCAGTTTGTTAGATCAACTTGTTTTCTTGAGATGCAGACCGTTAAAATTAAGAAAAGAGAATATTTCTAAATACCTTCTGAACAAATAAAGATCCCAAATAACACTCCGATGTATACAAGATGATTCTGAAGTAAGTATGTTCCTTCAAACAATTTTCATTGAGCAACCTGTGGTCTAAACTATTATGTGTACCAATAAATTAATCATGGATTATTATGCGAAAGTTAGGCCGACACAGGATCGCCCCACTTAATCAGCTGTTTAAAATGAAGTAACTAGGTCAATTATTAAGAAAGCAACGTGTTTTAAATAAGAAGAAAGATATTTTACAACTTGTCGAAGAAAACCCAAACCGCAGTACCCTCGATATTGCGCGTAAAATGGGTGTTTCAAACACTACTCTTTGGCGTATTTTACAAGAGCAACTACTGAACCTTTATCATATACAATGTGCGCAGACTTTGATTGTAATTGGTTTTCAGTCGCGTGATGTTTGTAGACGCTTTCAACAACAAGTGACACATCAACCAAATTATACAAATTATACAAGAGACGGAGTACTGAATTTTTATAACACTCACGATTTCAACGATTTTCAGTAAATATCTGATGAAGTGTGGGTGAGAACTTGTATTTACCAAATGTGTTAAATCCACGTGTAAAATTTATATATTTAGAATTTCTAACAAGTACTATTCCTTATTTATTAGATGACGTTTCATTGCGTACACGTGCTTCTCTAGTTTTTATGACTTTTTGCATACCTGTTTCCCTCATAGTTGACCAGTGTGAAGTCCCAATGTGACTCCTCTAAAATTCTTTTGGGAAAGCATGAAACAGAATGCGTATCGAACATCCGCTGTCGACGCTGTTGACATATTTTTGTTGTAGCCGATGATTTTAGACAGGTGTGTGAAGTAATGATTTTGATGCTGATACTGATGTTGATGCTGACTCTGACGCGGTGCAAATGCGAATGCGGATACGGGTGCGAATGCCGATGCCTTGCCCATGGCGATGACGATGATGATAATGAGGAACAGGAAGATAAAGACGAAGACGAAGAAATATACCACGATGACGACGACGAGGTGACGACTAAGGCGACGACGAGGACAATGACGAGGTCAACGATGAGATCGACGACGGTAACGACAACAATGATGACGGTGGTGACGATGACTATGACGTTGACGATTTGACCTAATTTTCATATTTCGGTTTAAAGATATCTAGTAGCATATGTGCTCTTTCATTTAAATACACCCAGTATATAACAGAACACACAGTACAATATTTTGCAATACAGCGTCTTTTAAATTATGAAATTTTTTTAAATTAAAGTTAAAATGAATGCAAATAGTATAAATTAATAACTTTAACTTGTACCACGTAGTAACTTTTTTTTTAATTACAAATTGAACATACCCTAATAAAAGTAATACAAATCCGAACAATTTTAAAACGACTATTGTCTTGTATATTATGTATTCGTTGCAAGTATATTTAAATACTACGTTATCTGTATTAGTAAAGTAGTTTTCAATTTTATTGGGGACAAAGAACAACTTTATATATTTTGCTTATAAAGGTGCAAAGAAATAACCTCTTTAAATTAAATTGAAAAATCCCGCCGCAGTCATGGATCCACAGAACAGAAGAGACTTCTTTTTAATATAACTGGCTTGCTCAACCTATTTATATAAAACAATGTGTTCTTTTGATTTGTATTGTGTGCCAACTATTTTAAAAGATAGTTATGCCGATTAATCTTTCCTAATTGCAACAAAATTGTTCCAAATATACGTAATGAATAATGAAATTTATTGATATTTTTCAATTATTTCTGTTAATGTTAATTAATATTTATTAGTTTGTGTTTTGCAGTAAATTTTTAAGTACACTAGACGACAAAACCTATTTTAATTAAAAAAGAAATGCGTTTACACCAGACATAAAATTAATGCAATAGGACCATGCATTGGAATATCAAGGTCACCATTGTTCTTGTTACTTAGTAACATTCCTCTCCCTAACACAACAATTTCCAGCGAAGCCTAAAGTTAAACAATTCCCATTGTATTTAAAACAAGTTTTTCCTTCTGTCAAGTGATAAAAAGTTCCTGATATAAGTTTATTAACACCCTATATATTTTCATTGTAAAGTATTTTTTACAGTGTATTGTCACTTTGTGGTATTTGTCTGTGGATTTTCAACTGTACATTATGGCAGTAGTAACAATATGTGTCATTTTCAAATTTAAACTGGATGAATTTAAAATTGTTGGCTTCCTAATATTTTTTTCCTGTCTATTGTACGGATCGATCATATACGTCAACGATATGGATATAATTTGGAGGCTCAATGTAAAGTAAGTACTTTGAAAATCGGAGTATCTGATTCAATAGCAGCAAAGAAAATAAATTACAAAGAATTATAAAATGTTCATAAAAGAAACCTACAAAACTATCCTCTATCTTATAAAATTTAGTCACTTTCAGGCTAATACAAATAAAACACAACTTTTTTTATTCGGAACCGTCAAGGATATTATACAGTTCAACATATTCCAATTGGACTACAAGCTTAGTAGGCATTCTATTGGGAATTATATACTCCAAATATAAGAATGGACATAACGTCAATAACAAAGTAAGTCCATCTAATTTAATACAATTTAATACTAAGGTAAAGGAATTCGACAGGTGTGTACTAGGTAACACAGCGACACAAAAACAAAGTCCAAACCCAAGGGTGCCCCATATCATTTCCGAAGAAATTCGATGCGCTGAACACAATCCTGTAGTCAAAATTCATGACTTTACGACAAATTTCGGAGAAAACTGAAATTTTTGGGTGAAACAGAACCAAATATGGGTCAAAACTTTCCTAAATTTTATTCAAATTGTCACATTCGTAGTATTTTGAGGCGCTTAATACGATGCCATTAGTAAAATTTGCCTCTGGCCTCGATATTTCGCAGAAAATTCTAAATTACCTACTGCTTTTTTACATACCTGAAAATTAAAAAAGTAATTACTACTAATTTAATCTCTTATCTTTAATATGTCGTCAACAAAGTAATGACATATTCAAGTACCAGTGTCGGTGTAAGTAATTGTGCTTTTTGGTTAAATTTGTTTTTAATGTAGTTGTAATAAAAATCATGCACAATGGGCTCATTCAGCAATTTTTTTTTATTTGCTTAACGGAAAGATATTGCAATTTTAAGGTTCTCTGCAGAAAATTAGAATTTTATATCGCCTACAAGTCATTAAAAACAATTATAAACTGGTACACTAAGTACCCGCTGAACCCGAGGGTGTGACGTCACCGCATGGGAAACCGATGCCGCATGCTTGCGTGTGTTGTCAGTCAGTCGGGTAGTCGGGTTTTAGTTGCCTGTTAAGTTTCGATTGAGTACGTTAAGATACCGAACTTTGTTAGCAATATGGAAGACGCAGAACAGAAAAAAAATTACAAATATTGCATTGTTCCCCAGTGTGAGAGCACTAGTGTGAAGACGCCTAAGAAAATAATAATGTTTCCATAATTCTGACGTGCGAATCTAAAATCAATAGTCTATTAATCTCTACTTTGATTTGTTTTTTTTTAATATATTTTATTTGAAAAATGACTTATTTTGAAAGCAACAAAACTACCATGCGTAATTTAGGTATGTAATAAATACGTTTGTATCCTCTAGAAACACTATACAGTTGAGTTTTCCATTGTTGATTTTTTTTGTGGATATTATACAAATATCTATAGGTAATAAGAATTTATATAAAAATACATAATAAATATTATATTATTAATATATTTATAAGATATTAGGTAGATTTTATGTAGTTTCCATGGGAATAAAGATAGTAGTATGAATTTTTTATTTGATTAGGTAAATCTTTGAAACAGAAACGGTTTCGTACAATTAAACGCAAAATCCTTATTCTGATTTACTATTCTTATTGTACAGAAACATGTTGTACATATTGTACAACAAAACTTTCGCTACAAACGTACTTTAAAGAAGCTTTACACGTTATTGAAACGTAACCTTTGCATTTTCACTCCTCTCATTTCAGCACTGATAAAGTCGTGGTTTTTATTTAAAAAATCCATAACCATTAACAAACCTACTTCTGGCAAATTAGAAGAATCTGCTTTTACGAAATTTGCTTCGATTTTTTAAATTTAATATGCACAAACGCTAAAACATTCTGTAGATGCAGAAACTCATCTTGAAGTACCGCCAAGCCGGCTGACTGTCCCATGCGGTGACGTCACTGCATTGCCACGGCTGGGACAAATACTCGCATTTTCAAAATCATATAGTCTGAAATCTGCTCAACGGATTGATTTTTGAGGATCACCTAATCATGAGCAATACTTTGTGTATACAAAATAAGAACGTTTTTGAAAATTTACTGAATTTTCCCCATTTCGAAACATCTAATATACTAAATCCTACATATTAAATGTAATGCATTAAAGGTAATGTTTAATCGTTTTATTTCAATTATTATAACCATATCTTTATCAAAAATTGTACAACTGTGAAAATTTAAAATATAATAGTTTGCGTCATATCTACCTAACGGTCTAGTGACGAACTTTACGTCTTTATATTTTCTAATATTTTCCATGATTTCTTCAAAAATAGCATAATTTCATCAATATATAAAAAGTTTTGCTCAATTCTCTTCATTATGTAGTCAACATATATTTTCATCCAAGAACTTTTAAAATTCTATGAATTTTTTCAACTTTTAATCTTAAAATATTGGCTTGTTTTAAATTGCGATAATGAAGAATATATCTTTCTTTATCATCTTCTGTAGTAATTATTTCAGGTATGTAAAAAAACAGTAATTTTGTATTTTCTGAGAAATATCGAGGTCAGAGGTAAATTTTACTAATGCCATCGTATTCAGCGCCTCAAAATACTACGAAAATATATGGACAAAATATAGGAAAAAAACAGTTTCACCTAAAAATTTCTCTTTTCTCCGACAATATAGAATCATGATCAGCGCATCGAATTGAGAAATGATATGTGGCACTCTTGTATTCGGACTTTTTTTGTGTGCCTATATATTCTAAGGGTTTAGAGTAAAATTAAAAGGTTATCAGTCATGACGTTAGTAGCATAACTCTGCGTCCCCAATAACGTTTGTTCCTTATCACTGCTCAGATTCCAAAAATATACACCACGTTTTGAATTATACCATTAAGACTTTCGTAAAATGTATTTTTAAAATTGCTTAGTCAATACGACTAAAGGTAGATAATATTTATCTGGCTAATATTTACTCCTATTTACAGATTCAAAATATATTAGGTTTTTTTAGATTATATCCATATTATGGGTTTTAATATCTTTTGGTCTGCCTTCTGCAGTAATATTTGTAGCAAGACATGAATTCAGAGGGATGCGGGCAGCAATTGTGGGATCCTTGGTGAAACCCCTATTTTCTCTAGGCATTGGGATCGGAATTTTAGGAATGTCACATAATATGGGAGGTAAGATCTTTTTGTGATTTTACGTAATCAACAATGACTTTAAAAAAATAAATTTTTTTGTTGTGCCATCATTCAATAACGATAACTGTAATGTATTAAACAAAAATTTAAATACCTATATTTTTGTAAGATTTAATTAATCTGTTTGTTTTAGGCCTTATCAAACGTATATGTGAAAATAAATATGTCATGGTGATGAGTAATTTCTCATTCACGACTTACGTATTTCAGTTTATTGTTATATTTTCTTATAAAGGAACTGGAACGTACTCATTGATGGAATTTACCAAGATGGTAATAAATTTTAATTTAGTGCCACTTATAGGATTTTGAGTAAATACCATTTTCCTCTTTCCAGGTAAAATACTGTTTGTTTATTGATGCACCAGTTTCAATAATGGTTGGAATTATTTGCACGTTAATTTTCGAGCGGCCTGGAATTAATTTACAAAAATTATTCTTGCCACAAATACCACGTAGGAAAGACCAGCGACTAAAGGGTCAATAAAATGAATTACTATAGTAAATTAATATTATTTTGTCATTTCTATTATTGTTTGATTAAATAACAAGGGATGCATTGTATTTTATTTCAAAATTACGAAAAATGCTTGTACCGTTCAGTTAGATTTTCGGAAGTGGACGGGCTGTACGCTGATACATATTCTTAACCCCCCACAAATAGAGTCTGTCAAGTTGCAGACATAAGTTAAAATGTTATATTTTAAATACTTTATAACTTTGTGCTCATTCTATACTAATTTGTGTTGTATAATATAAATTTTATACTATGTTAATTTTTTATATATTTTGAACATTATAATGATCAATACTAATACATTTTTCAACAATAAAGTGGAATATGTTTTACGTTTTACCTTTTTTTTACTACCACTCAAATATCATGAATTCTTTGATATATCCTCTTAAAATGTAAAAAAAAAATCTCGTCATACAGAGAATTTAAGTATCATGCACGATGTCAAATTTCAAAGGAAAAGTAGAAGTAAGGTAAGAACAAATGAAAACAATGGTTTTGATGCAAACGCCTTCCACTCGGCACTTTGGCATATGGTTTCCGGCCAAAACACGATAAATTGATGTTTTTGATATACTCATTTCCAATTCCATGAGTTTCAAAGAAGCTTTTGGCTGATTTTTGATGAATTCACGCACAGTTTTGATAGAATCTGCAGTGATCACAGATTTCGGCGATATGTTGCTCATTATTTATGTGCTCACAACCGTTTTCAAACCAGGTATAATACCACTCATGCCATGGGATAAACAATCATCATCGTAAACTTGGTTTGTCTTTTGTTTGCTTCGGTAAAAGTTTTACCAAGTTTAAAACAAAACTTTGTTGTAGCTCTTTGTTCGATGCTCATTTTTGTACCGATGACACAAACATACTGTCACTTCAGACGCAATAACTCGGCTTCTATTCGACGCATGTAATTGCCAATACTGCCGTCCTTAGTAAAAAGGCGGTAAGTGATAAAATACAGTTACTGAGAAAAATGCACAAAACTTTAGCTGCTTAGACTGCATAGATTTTAAATTTGTATCAATTAAATTTTAGTATAGATACAAAAAATTCACGGTGGGCTTGAACATGACTTAAATGCGAAGTTTTAGCACCACCGATTTTCTTTCGGCATTCGATTCCTGAAGTCATAAGAAGGCCAGAAAAAAAAATCCACCGTAATCCTTAGAGCCGTTTTAGAAGAAACGCCCTTTTTCAACGAAGAAAAATTCACTGTTCGAAATATCGGGATTTTTCTACCTTTCGCTCACTTTTAGTTGCCAAACTTCCCCAATTTGGCAAAAATGACGTTTTCCTGAAAGTTTACACTAGCACACAAACATTTACAAGCATGTTTTTTAAATTGCCCCTTTCACTAAAACCGGAGATATTCATTGACGATTCTCAGAAACAGGTTAAAATAGAAAAAATTTGAAAGAATGATTTTTCATTCGAGTGAGTTTTGCGGTAGTACGTCAACAAGCGAGAATCATGTCATTTATTTCCATCCTTGTTTGATTTGCGAGGTCATTGAACTATCGCCAACCCCCACCCCCGATTGTTTGCTTACGTTTTGTGATACTCCAGATCGAATGATCAATTTTATTCGTGAAATTAGTTAAAACTCCAGATAGTCTTCGACCCTTTGACTGTGAAGTTGTAATTGTTCTCTTCGAAATTTCAATTTCTTGTGTAATGAACCATTATTCATTCCAAGTTTTCGTAAGGGTTCCGTTATTTATTTATGAAATTGGTTTAATTGGGTGAGAGCAATTAACCGCGAGTCGAGCCGAAACCGTCCGTTGCCCCACTCCTGCCTAGTCAAGGGGGGATTGAGGCAATAAAACAACCGTTCCTGCACCCGATCCAAGGAGTTCGCTGCCAGAACTCGAAGACCTCCAACGCCAGCCTGAGGACCACCCCGAGGACCTGAACACCGACCAGAGACCGCCACCCGATCCAAGGAGTTCGCTGCCAGAACTCGAAGAGCTCCAGTTCCAACACCAGCCCGAGGACCACCCCGAAGACCTGAAGACCGACCAGAGACCGCCACCCGACCCAAGGAGTTAGCCGCCAGAAGCAACCGTCCGGAATAAGTAAGCAAATTGTATTTTCCTATTCTCACTTGTCCTGCTATGGTACAAGTCTGGCCGTTTTGAACTCTGGCAAGACAGTACGACCACGGCGTTGTCGGCGAAGGTTTGGCTGGGTCACCCACCGCCCTCGTTCGACGAACGTTGTTAGTCACATCGACCGAACTGCTGGTTTGGCTGGGCCACCCACCGCCAGTGGAAGACGTTGAGTGCAGGTCCGTACGGCAGCAGCGTTATCGGCGACGGTTTGGCTGGGTCACCCACCGCCCTCGTTCGACAAACGTTGTGAGCCCCTTTACTGACACTGCTGGTTTGGCTGGGCCACCCACCGCCAGTAGAAGACGTGAAGGTGTCGAAGTGTACAGCAGCAGCGTTGTCGGCGAAGGTTTGGCTGGGCCACCCACCGCCCAAGCTAGATAAACGCTGTAGGGCACAATAACCGAAACTGCTGGTTTGGCTGGGCCACCCACCGCCAGTAGAAGACGTTGTGTGTCGGCTGTGCAACGACGGATAGACCCCCGAAGTTTGGCTGGGCCACCCACCGCTTCCGGGAGAAGTCTGTCGGCCGCCCCGCATTTGAACTCGCACCTCGTCCAGACTTTGCCTCCTGTTTACCAACAACATCATTTTCCTGATTACCGTTTGCTTATTTGTGCCTGATCTAAACCGCTTTGCTTGGCTTTTTCTCCTGGCTGGTCGCATTTCCGCTTAATTTCCGTCGCTTTGCTAGAAACTGCCGCCGATATTTATTTGTAGAATTAGAGTCACCCGTAATTATTTTTCTGTTTCAGAACCATTGGGAACAATTTATTTATTGCTCTAATTTATTAATCTTATTTTTCCCTTTCTAGCACCGACCGAAATTTAAAACCGAATATTATTCTGGCGTACCGTTTCGTAAAGTCTTAGATTGTTTATTAAATAAACCAAACGCCAAAGACTCCGTTTTCTACCGTACCGATTTTGTGTCCTGATCTTTTGACTAATTTGTATTTATTTACAGCTCCGAAAAACCGTATCGGCATTTTAAATCCGTCGTACAAATAATAATTGCTCTAACCCATTTTATTTCATTCTTACACCGCTTGTAAATTTATTGTATATACCTGGTTTTAGTTAGTAATAATAATTGTAATTAGAATCTGTTTTACTTTTGTTTGTTTGTTTCAAATTCAATAGGCCTGATTAATAAATCTAGTAAATATAATTCCCGTTTGTATTCATTCTTAACGCCGACAAAGTTGATAAAATTCCGATCAGTAAAAAAGGGGTCCGCTTATCTTTTTGTGACCTACACTGATAAGACCGTTTATTTTGAAAGGAAAATAACACTACACTCAGAGAACTACTTTGCTTGAAATTAAGAGAAATATAACAGACCCCTGGAATTAAACTTTCTTCACTGCAGCTATCCCGAGTACTTACTCTAAACCGAGGGTAGGTTTCACGTGGAGTTTCCCCCACGTAACCGATTGGGAAACTGGCGCCCGAGACAAAAACCAAACAAAAAGATTCAATCCGGAGTACGTTCCTGTGACGTCACTCACCACCGCCGGCTGCCAACCACCGCTGCCGATAAACTAGTAGTCAAGGGTCGTCATAAAATTAGGCGTCCAAATAAGGACGTCAGTGACGTCAATAAATCCAGTAAATTAGAATTCGCAATTGTGAATTAAGATTCCGTTTAGAGTTGGTAGTATACCGGGGTCGGCCATAAGTAACGTAACTAACCGTCACCACCACCAGAACCGAAACCGCAGGAAAGTGCGTTACAAAAATTTGGCAAACCCGAGCAGGGAGGTTACAAAAATTTGGCAACCGAGAAAAGTATGTTACACTTGTGATAGTATGGACAGAAGATCAAAGGATCATGCAGGAACCCATCAAGAAAATCGGGAGCGGATATGTTTTCTCTGCCTGCAGAAGAAGAAACAAATGGTCAAAATCAGTGGTAGTTTATGTGTGAATCTAAAAAAATGTGTGAATTATACTGAACAGGATGAACGTTTTCCCAATGTTTTATGTAGCGCTTGCAAAATTATCCTATATCGGTCAGTGAAGTGTGAAAGTATCGGGAAAATAGCCTTGCCGGACTATACACAGTTCAAAATTTTGGCGAAAAATACTCGGGCAAAAACTCAAACGTTGTGCAGTTGTACATTGTGTGAATTGGTACGAGATCCAGGGCCATATAACTTCACCAAATAAACCGCCAAGAATGGTCCCTATAAAAACTGACCAGCAATGGGATACTAATTCTTTAGTAAATATTTAACCTACTTCTGTTTTTATAGTTTCGTAGAATACGTTCTATAAAGAAAAAAAAGGGGGACAATAATACCAATGATATTGGTTGTTAGGGTCATCTCTATTCAATAGCAGTACTTGCAGCCTATCACGTAAACAGCAACGTGACACATAATATTTGTTACAAAATAAGACTACAAGTCCTTACAAAATGTGCCTTGCGACTATCTTTCTTCATGTTTTGTACTTACTGATTTTTCGCTTCATAACGAGCGTTCAAATAAAAACGTGGTCAAGTTGGTTCTGAAAATTTGGACGTAGGGCGTAGCGTATAGCAAATGAACTTAAACGTCATCTGTCAAAGCGCTAAATCGCCGCTATCAATTTGAATATTTTCGTTTTAAAAAGCGTTTAAAATGGTGTTTTCTCAAGAACAAAAAGTGTTTATCATAAGAGTCCTACTTTAGAAATGGACGCAAGATTGATGGAATATGGAAGTATTCTATTGAGGAATGTTTCATAGAATTTCAAAATCAATTTCCCGGCGTTGTTGAGTACAAAATTTTTCAAAGTGCACTTCAGCGTTGTGTTAATATTTTTCTTGAAACGGGCAGTGTAACAAGAAAAGAAGGAAGCGGCCAACCTAAAAAGCGGACTGAAGAATTAAAAGAAAATGTCCAACAAATAAAGGAAAATGCGCCAAGAACTTCTGTACGTGTTTTATCACAAATGTTGGGAGTATCAGTCGGTACCTGCCACACAGTGATAAAAAAAAGATTTGCGTTTGTTCTCCTATCGTTTAACTTGTCAGCAAGAACTTGATGAAGTTGATTTTCCGCGACGGGCTGTATTTTGTGAATGGTTTTTAAACAACTACGGTGAACTTCATAATATCACCTTTTTTTCTGATGAAGCCTGGTTTCATTTAAGTGGTTACCTAAACTCACAGAATATGAGAATGTGGTCTTCTGAAAAACCAGATAACTTTTTTGTCGAGGGCCCTCTACACGCTCAAAAAATTGGAGTTTGGTGTGCTCTCAATCGAAGGAGGATTTATGGACCTATTTTTTTTAATGGTACTCTTACTGCCCAAAGGTATAGAGAAGAAATTATCGCTCCTTTTGTTAACCAGCTGGAAGAAAACGAAATTACAAACTTTTACTTTCAACAAGATGGCGCAAGGGCACATACGGCAGGCGAGACGATGAATATGTTGATGGAAGTTTTCCAAAATCGACTAATAAGTCTCAATGCTGAACACGAATTTCCACCGAGGTCATGTGATATTACGACGTGTGATTTCTTTTTGTGGCCTTACCTTAAAAACACTATTTTTGAACTGCCTATTCCTGATTTAAACCATCTGCAGGCTCGACTTATAGACAAGATTCGTGAAATTAACAATACCCCGAGCATCTTAGAAAATTCTTTAATTCTTTGAGGAACAGGTATGAAAAGTGCTTGGAACAAGGAGGGGGACACTTTCAGCAGCTCCTTTAATTGTTTGTTATTGTTATCACGATTATTCTTTAAAATAAAGTTATATAGTTATTAACGTTATTGAAACTGACAGCTGCTATACAGCTCGTTGAGAAATGAGGTTAAGTTGGTCGCTATAAGCTACTCCCTACGTCCTATGTGTCAATTCTGTGGTTGGTAGTGCTTCGCTATGGCCGACTCTGACAGCAATATTATAATTGCAAGTGCTGCATTTATCATTTTGTCTCAAAAACTCAAAAAGAAAAGAAGGAAGGAAGAGAGACGTTGGTGGGTGACAAATTTAATGCAGTGAAGGATTTTGGATAATGTAGGTGGAACAATGACAGATATGCAAGAACAAGAAGAAAGTGGTCAATTCCAAAATTTCTGTAGAATGACGTTCTACGATATTTGCGATTTCCTGCCAAGCATCCTGTATTTTTATAGTTTTCAAACGTAGGATCCCACAGACATCTGGAATTTCGGTAGGCTTCTATCATAAATAGGCATTTTTCTTGAGACCAATCCATAGTTGAATCGATGAAATTCAGATCGCTCGAACACAAGAACACTTTGAAGAGACCACTCCGGGGAGCGAGCACGTCCGAACACGCAAGGACGCTCTAAGCATCTGAGCGAGCGAGCATTCTTAGAATATTCCATAGAATCTTTACGAACGCAAACAAAACAATGAAAGAATGCTCTACGTTTGTTTACACTAAATGAATTTGATACAGTGGGGATAGAATGAGTATTCGCTTGTCTGATGTAAATCGGCCTTTAGATGTTTATTTGAGAGGTAGTTCCTATTGCGGGTATTATAAGTGTGAATTTCATGATTACAGTTAAATGACTCTATATTGTTTCTAACATACATAATACAGCGGAATATATAAGTACATGTGAGGATATCAATTCGATATCACCCTGATAGCCTTTTTCTGTTGTGAAAACACTTGCCGGCTCGAGGGAGCGTGACCCCAAACAAGGATTGCATAAGACAAAACAGAGTGAATGAGACTATGATATACTGTTATTAAAATATTTCTGGATACTTTATATGAGAGAGTACGGAGCAAATATAGATGCTTTAATATTTTGGAACAAATATAATTGACATGCTGGTCCCATAACAATTTAGAGTCTAGGTGTACTCCTAAGAATTTAACAAAATCTGGATTATTTAAATGTTCTCCACTTCGTAGGATAAAAACCATGGTCACCGTTTTCGACTTGTTCAAACTCAAGTTATTAGAAGCAAACCAATCACTTGCCCTTGACTGAATTTGAGATGATTTCTCTGTTAATAAAACTCTTTATTTCTATAGGTTATATTAGTATCGTCAGCAAATAACACACTATTAATATTTCCATCTAAAGAAATTGGAAAGTCGTTTATGTAAATTAAAAATAGCACTGAGCCCTGGGGCACACCATGAATAGTATTCTTTAAGCCAGACTTAACACACCGTTGTATTGAACATATTGAATTCTATATATTGTACCTATACTGCACTGCAAATAAATGATTACACCTTAAAAAAATTGTATGTTTTATTATTAAAAAATGCTAACATCTTTACTAAAAAAGGACTGAGGTCAATAAATAGAATAATTGTAACAAAATATTTACACCAAAAATACATTATATTAATCTTGCTGCTTCCCTCTACCATATGTCAGTCGAGGTAAAAAATTTTTTTGCAAATTAATCCCAGGTTGTTCAAATATCAGCGCACCGACAACTCCAACTATTATAGATACTGGAGCATCGAAAAAGAGAAAAGATTTAAACTAAAAAAAACGTAAGTATTTTATTGGACTGTTAGTTAAAAATGTTTCTCAAAATGTTATTACCATTTGTGTAACTCCATATTCCATCATAGAATATGAACCAGTTCCTTTAGAAAATATTATTAACATCTGGAAAACGTATATAGAAAATGAGAAATTACTCATTAGCACCACGTATCTGTTTTCGCACAAGCGCTTCATGATTCCTAAAACAAAATGTTATTGTAGAAACTGTGAAAGTTTTAATTAGGTTTTTCATTAGGTTGTTCAGTACATACTTCTTATTAAGAAACATATTATTTTCGTAGATTGGTGTATTATAAGTGAATTTTGATTATACTGTGGACAATTCGAGATTAAAAATAAGTAGTTGCCGGAATAAAAAAGTTGCGTGTATTAATTGATTTGAATATAGCATTTTCTAATCACATTAATAATGCACTGTAATTTTTGGTATCGAAGAACATTGTTTAAATTCATGTGATTTTTTTTTAAATTATGGGATTTGTTTGTGTTTGCTTAATACCAATTTGATCGATCTTCCAATTTTGTTATGTATTTATTAATAATAAAATCAATCAATTGTCTGTAATAGATAATGTATAAGAAGATAGACAGTATACCTCCAATATTATGTGACATTCCTAAAATTCCAATTCCAATGCCACTAGTAAATAAGGGTTTAACTAAGGGACCTAAGATTGCTGCAGTAATACCTTTGAACTGCTTTCCTGATATCAAAATTGCTGCAGAGGGTAAAGCAAACAACAATAATAGATACGACAGCGATAAGATCTAAAAATAAATAATTAATATGAGCTATAGTGTCCATCAAATATAGGTATGCATATATTTTTTTTTGTTTCACATGTACTAACTAAATGGATACCAAACAATACTTTCTCTTTTAATCTATATAAGAAAGAAAAGTTAAACTTAAATCTGATAATATGGATAATGTTTCGTTTACTGATTTATTGATTAGCTCTTTCACTTTCAGAAAATATTTTGTATTTTAATAATTACTTAATGAAGAAATTTAATTTTTAGGTAACTATTTCTTAATATTCGTACATACAGGGTGTTTCTAAAATAAGTGCGTATCTTGTAAAGGGTGATAGAGAGCACGAAAATTAACAACTTTTAATAAGCAACTGTTGGTGAAAATGCTCCTGTTTTCGAGGAAATTACACTGAAAGAAATGGGCTTATTAAACTGTTTATCTAGAATAATGTGTATAGCGCATATTAAAACTTTTATAACCAATATACAACTTTTATTAAAAAAAATCAATGATCTCCATACTCCTTATTCAATGAATTTAACTGGAAGGTGCTTAATACACCTTATGGATCTATGAAATAAAGGTTATAATGAATTACTTATACATTATTAGGTGTTATAGACTTTATATTCCAGTTGTATAGTAGGGAAGATTTGTTGTATAAAGACCAGTATCCGAATTTGTATATAACAATTGTATTAACAGAATTATTCGTTCTTATACTGAATATGTTTCCGTTTTTAACGTGTAAAACGCATCTTATAATGGTTAAGTGATCGTCACCTCTCGGTGCATAATCGGTTATGATCGTTGTTAAGTTATATTCATAGTCTTGTAATAATAATCATATGTCAGACCCGAGAGCGAAGTGCGCCGACTCAATAAGAAACCTGGCTATTCCAGCCGCTGATTTAGGGTTCGCCGCACGAGCTCATCCCTTCTAAGATTTCAGTAGCATGCTATGCATGAAGCAGAACGGTACTCAACTATCTTATACAGTCCACTTTTATTGTCCATACATGTTCAATCATTGTCAAAATAAACACACAAAACCACAACGTCTTTATTATCTTTACTCAAGAAGAGAAAATACAACAATCGTAAAATTTCCGACAGTCCGCTGTGCATCGACTTACACACGTCTAGTTTGATGAAAATGGACAGTATATGCACATGTTTTGTGGGATACATGATCATATCGCGTTGTGTGAAATGGAAAATTATTATGTAAGTATCTAACTGTTTTATGGCTTGTAATTGTTTTGTTTTTTCAAATGTAAATCTTGTCTAAATCTTAAAAATTATTATTTTGTAGGTCCTATTAGAAATCGCTGATGTTAAGTTTTACATAAGATGGAGGAACAGAAGGTTAACGGTGACAAAGAAGAGCATGGGTATAAAGTCAATCAACCAGAGGAAATAAAATTATATGGAAAGAAGCTCAACCTTTCTGGGGATGCTTCATTCTTAAGGTGGAAGAGTTATAGTGCAAATTCTCATGTAATACAAGAAAATACGGGTGCATCGTTGCTAAGAAAATAAACTGGACAGTTTTGGGAGCGATTTGTCATCATTTTTAATGCTTAAAAGTATGTTTTATGTATGTTTACATTAGAACCTTAGCTTGTAATTACAGTTATCCAATAAAATTTCTGAAAACTTAATGACATATGTTTTTAACTCATACAGAGTATACAACAGTTTAATACATTTATTATTATAAAACTTATAACCAGTACTAGATGTTCTAATAACGATATGGAACACTTTAATAACAGTTATTGCTATTATTTCGTAAAGGGTATAAAAAACGTTGTATACTAGTTATACAATAATTTAATAAAGAATAAGGTTTATAGTCACTATACAACTGTGCTAGCAATACGCGTTTTATATCCAATATTCACCTGTTTAACTGTCACATATAGTATACAATGGTCTTATAATGGCATATAGAATTCTAATAAAGAATAAAACGCATTTCTTTCAGTGAATTAGAAAAATTAAGCATAAATGTAAACCGACCCTGCGCATCTTATGCACGTGCGTTGTGTATTGCTGTATTACTTAGCCGACGATACAATGTTTTCTGTTCAAGAACTAGCAGATATGGTGTTAATGTACGGAAAATGTCAGTACAATTTAAATGAGACTTGTCGTTTGTACGCGGTCCGTTACCGCTTAATAAAAGTTGGTTATTTTTGTACCCTCTATCACCGTTTTCAAGGAACGCACTTATTTCAGAAACACCCTGTTTATGGGATTATTGTGTAATGGGAATTGAACTACATTAATTCGTCACTAATACATATTTTAGATTATGTGCATATTAATGAAATGTAACATTTTAATAATTTTTTATTTTATTCTAACTCGGATTATATCTTTATACTATCATGTCATTAACTATTTCAAAGAAACTATTCATACAAAATCATATTCTACATATCCACATTTGGCAACATAATTTAAAAATAACTAAACTTACTTTGCTCTTGGCGACCTTACGATTCTTAATCTTGGTGTATATAATTCCTAACGAAATACCTACAATACTTGTGGTCCAAGAGGAATACGTTGAAATGTATAACATCCTCAATGGATCCGATCGCAGAAACGTATATCATCTTACTGAGCTGAGAACAAGGTGTTTCACATTATTGCTTCAAATAGTTTGTAAGAGATGGTAAGTTTATTACTCCAATATACAGGGAGTTAAAAAAGTGGACAAAATTTTAATCAACATTCAGATGCGTGTTAGAACTTTATTATTATATTATTTTTATTTACCTATATCTTCCAAATGGATTAACAAATTAATTAAGATTTGGTACAGGGTGTTACCTTGAATAATGATAGCATTAAATGAGATAATATTAATATTCTCTTTTTACATAAATTATTTAATAGTGGTAAGGGCCACGTGCATTTTGATTTTTATTGCCTTTGTTATTAAGTTACATAGATAAAACAATCACACAAAAAAATCGACTTTCAGGCCCAGAGGTCAGACCATGTTTTCATACGTTTTTTGGGTCGCTGAATCCGAATCCGAGTTCCATTTAACCCCATCACCTTAGGATTTTTCATAACCTCAGAAAAAACACAATATTCTGAACAATTAAACCATATAACCATAAGACTCAAACTTTCAACGCTAAATCCAGTTAACAAAACCGATAAATATTTAACCCAATGATATCCCAACCTAATAAGCCCATAAACCCAAACCCCAATAATCCTATAACCCCATAACCAAAGGAATAAATCATAGACAATTTGTGTTATTGCAAAACATCACATAGCTGAGGACTCCTTGAAAGCCCAAGTACTCAAACCCAAAAACTTCCCATAACCCTATAACCTAATAAATCATAGGCAATCTATATTATGGATAAACGTTAACGTGGTTCAGGATTTCTTAAAAACCTGTGCACTCAAACCCCAGAACCCCCTTGACCCTACAATTGCCCACGATTCCCTAACCACAACTTTCATTACCTTGTACTTTGATCTCATTCACCAAAGAGCCGAGTGTTACAGTCGATCTAGTTTTTTATATACCTAACTTTAATTGGTAGGACCGTCGGCATTAGCATTAACTAGGGTTTCTGATTTCTCGGCCTATTTTTTTTCTCGGGTCTCGAGAATTCTCGACTAAGAATTCCCGGGAATTCTCGAGTTCTCGAGAAATTTCTAAAACTTAAAAAAGTCATAATTTTGGTATTGCAATGCGAAATATAAACATGCTATTATACTTAACAATCATCATTAACATTTATTATTTATTCAGTATTTTTATTAATTATTTATGTTTCTACTTCTACTAACAAAACTAAATTAAACTATGAGTTTCTTCTTAAAAATCTTTAACTTGCTTTTCTATTAAACACTTTCAATATACTTATGTTTATTTCAATATTTTTGAATCGTAGTTTTCTTCCAATAATAATTATTAATAATCATTAATCATGCAGTCTTTTAATTAAATAAATAGTAAATAAGGAATTTAGCCGATGAAATCTTAAAAAAACAACAAGCTTTAATTTAAAGATCCTATTAATTTATCACTTCAACATTAGGTATCTGCTTATAATAAAATTTCTACACAGACTTATAACTAGGTACAGGGAGATTCACTATATTTTGACCCACCTTTAACTTTTTTGTTTTAAGAGTTATAAAAAAATGTGAAATACAAAAGTTGCACGATTTTTCATGAAATTTTTGAATATGATAGTATAAAAACAAATGAAGTTCAAACAAAATGGCCGAGGATGTTGATTTTGTTAATTTAAATGGAACACCCTGTATATTTTTACACATTTGGATAGAACGTTCCCTGTCGAGCACAGTCATATATGGTTTATTGGGTCCATCTCTAACAATAAGCGAGATAATATTAAAAAACGAAAAGAACATTTTTTAATAAGAAAATAAAATATTTTGTAATTGTTGGACGTTTTTCGGGTATTTCTGCCTTTTTTCCAATTACGTAAGGATTTAAATTTATTTGCAATATATTTTGACATATCGAACATTGATATGGTCCAAAATGGGTATAAGTATTTTAACTAAAGCTTCATTCACAACCAGCCAATTACAATTACAATTAGTACTTAGAATTAGCGGTAAAAGTTTGGCATGTAACTTTATACATGATCGTTCACAACCTTTAGATTAACGTTTCCACTTATACTTACACTTACACTTAGAATTAGTACCTTGCAAAGTCCAAGCTTTGGCCACTAATTGTAATTGAAAAATATTTGTGCGTGCGCGCTTGTTGTCATTGTTGTAAACAAATGAGTAAATGACAAATCACCTAACCTTAAATATGGTGAATATTTGTTTATATTAATTTTGTTTGTTTAAATTATTATTGTGCAATAAACTATGTTTCCGAGACGAAAAGCGCCGTTCCGTTAAGATATTCTCCATAGTTTATTTTAATTCCTAATAATATTTCAATTTTCTACTTCTGTGTAACCCATTTTAATTAAATACAAACTATCAAACAATAACAATGTTATCATGACATTACTTCCTGTCACTGTCACGACCTACCATATATGACTGTCCATGAGTAGTTGGCCTAACACGGTCTAATTAGTGAGATTTACTTAAAATACCTATCCGCATTTTTGACTATATCAATGTCCGATATGTCAAAATATAATACAACTAAATCTAAATCCTTACGTAATTGGAAAAAAGGCAGAAATGTCTGAAAGAGGTCTAACAATTATAAGATGTCTTATTTTCTTAATAAAAAACCTTCTTTTCGTTTTTTTTAAAGTATCTGGCTTATTATTACAGATGGACCCAACAAACCCTATATGGCTATGCTCGACAGGGAACGTTCTATCCAAATATGTAAAAATATACAGTGTGTTCCATTTAAATTAACATCCGCGGCCATTTTGTTTGAACTTCATTTGTTTTTCTACTATCATTTTCGAAAAACTTCATAAAAAATCGTGCAACTTTTGTATTTCACATTTTTTTGTAACTCTTAAAACAGAAAAATTAAAGGTGGGGTCAAAATATAGTGAATCACCCTGTACATTAAAAAAAAAGAATCATCAAAGTAAACTAAAGCCTTAGAAACTTAAAATAAATAAATCATGAGCTGGTAGAGAAACCACTTTAACCGCTCAGTTATTTGTCGAGAAACGAATGGAACGCATGAACGAAACGAGCTCCAGTCAAGAATTTAAGACGCGCGTGATTTTTAAATTTCTCGATTTCTCGACACTTTTTTCTCGTCTCGAGTAAGGCCAGATTTCCCGAGAATTCTCGCTTCGAGAAGTCTCGACCAGAAACCCTAGCATTAACCCAATGTACACCACGTTGAAAAAAAAAAATAATAATTTGTAGGATAGACATACTATAAATTAATCAATAAAACTAAAATAATTAAATGAATGATTAATGTTAAGAATCTCTCTTGACTAGAATAAATGAAATGAAAATCCAAAGGATAACAGTAGATAACCCAAAAAATTATATTACTATAATGCAATAACTTGAGTGTATAGGTTTTTAAGAAATCCTCAACCACGTTAACGTTTAGCCATAATACAGATTGCCTATGATTTATTAGTTATGGGGTTATGAAGTTACGGGGTTATGGGGTTATGGGGTTATGGGGTTATGGGGTTATAGAGTTATTGGGGTTTGGGTTCATGGGCTTATTAAGTTGGGATATCGTTGGCCAGTCCATTCTGGTTATTTATATATCAGACGTCATCAGCCGTTTCAAGACTGTGGAAAATTTAGTAAATACCATATCAACTCTAGAAGATGTAGGTTTGTTTGCACACCCGAAGAGGGAATTTTTTAATCGTTAGGCGGATCGCTATTCTTGTAGCTATTAACCACCCTCTTGTTTGGAGAACCTTTAAGAAATATTCCACCCCTACCACATCCAACGTGTGATGTCGATAACATTTTGCAGGTTGGTTTTGATAACACGCGCGTGTGTGTTGTTGAAGTTAGATATCAACAATGTTTTAGTTTAAATTTCTGGAATGTTCCTCCGGGTGACAGGTTAATAGGACTTGTTTACTCAGTTAAACGGCCCTGCATATCTACATACATTTATTAAGAGAGGATGTGCTACTGATATCGAGCGTGATTTATTTGTGGTTCATTCGTAATGGTACTCCGTCAGACTTCTTTACTTGGGGTTTTCTTAAAAGTTTGGTGTGTATAAAATTAGTTGGAAATAGAATAGAAGGAGCTTCTAACATAGCCTGGAGTATTTGAGAAACCACATAATTCATTTTTAATATGTAGAAACTGCATTGATGTACATACAAAGAATATAGCTTGAATATATATATTTTTTGTGGAAAATTTTATTCACCATCAGTTTATTTATTTTTAACATCCTGTATGAAATTAATTCTTAAACATTTTTTTAAACATTAAAAAAGTATCTTATGTAGAAATACTAATCAAAAGAAGATTATATGTATTAACCCACGGTCTCCGTTCTTGGATTATCTCATTTTTTCTCATCGCCTTATTCAAACCATGCAGATTTATTAGATAAGACCCTGCACCAAATTTGAATTGATTTTGACAACCAGTTTGGAACATATTAACAAAAACATATTTTATCTCGAACATGAGACACCCTGTATAATACATATATACATATAAATATACAATATTCTATTAATACCATTTTCAACAGATTTCGACATTAAAAAGCAATATCTAAAATGCAGATGTAGTTCAACTGAGCTATTTTGGATAATTTATATTGATTTTTTTCCAATTTTTGAAGTACCTATTATTTTTCATTTTTATTTTCAATAATTATTAATTACCAGTCTTCTGTTTATTCTAAAAGAGAAAGGCTTAATATGACAATAATTTTGAGAATTTTTCTTGAATTAGTTTAATGCATTATTTAAACTCAAGTTGGTTTACCTTACTAAAACTCAACTTTTGGGTGCATCTTCCACTCCTTCAATTTAAATTTTAGAATTAGATAAATTGTAACTATTGCCATAGTATACAACTGAAAATCGACTGAAAGGTACCATGATGGAGGATGACTCTGCAAAAATTATATTATTGGTTTTAATAATACAAAAATATTAAATTACAAACTACTTACCAAATCTTTAAAGTATAAATAATTATTTAAAAAGAAAAACGTTTGCCACCAGTTGTCTTTACAAGTTTTTTGAAATACGTAATTGTTATCAAACGTCACTGGTCCTTCAAATAACCTATACAAAGACGATCGCAATATTAGTATCATCATTGTGGAACATACACCAAGCCTAAAATGGAAACCAAATGTTACAAATATCAGGTAGTTTCGTTATTTTTTATATATTCTAAAATAATTCTTCTCTGAAAACTAAATTAATTATTTTACCTAGAATATCTATTAACGCAAAAGTAAAAGACTTGTTTTACTGAAAATTTCCTTTGTTCTCTATAAATATTGTATATTTGGAATGTCAAAATCCAGGAAGATATAAGAAAAAACGTCTGCACCAAGAAAACGTCAATAATACATAGCTTTTCTATCAAAGAATTACTAATTATCTGCAAAAGAAAATTAGTGCCAATTGTTGATTGCATTATCTGTCCCCTTATTAAATCTAACGGGTGTCCCAAAAGTAATGCAGGATTTTAATTGTGCGCTATTTTCATTCCGAAGAGTTGGCAGCATTGTGCATGGTAACATGTTGGAGTAAACACATTGCGGTTAAACACAATAATGCACAGTACCGCGGATGGGCGAGTAAATATTGTGTAAATTCATTACAGATACGGAGAGTGTGTAGCTGAGACTGTGAGCAAATTACGTGGCATTTTCGGTAGAAGGAACGCGCCGAATGAAACAACTGTGAAAAGATTAGTTGCAAAAATTGAACAAACAGGTTCAGCTGCAGATTATAAAAAATAATTCGTCCTTGTACTGTCCGCTTAGCCGAAAATATTGCTATGGTGTGGCGAAAATGCCCGTAACCTTAATGCGCCGTCGCCGTCGGTTAATGAAATTAAATATTTCAGAAAGCACAATGCAGAGGATATTAACAAAAGTTGACTTGACGGTGACTTTGTTAAAAAATCATATTTAGCGACGAGACGCATTTCCACGTACAGTGGGTACATGATCAAGCAAAACTGTCGAATTTGGGGTAGAGACAATCTTCGGGTCATTCAAGAACCACCATACTGTATACTCAAAGAGTGAAAATGAGGCTGGAAATGCAGCGACTGTCAGCGGAGAACGATATCGAAAGATGCTATTGAACTTTTTGTGACCTCATTTGGATCGCATAGATTTGGATGACATGTGATTCCTGCAGGAGTGCCACCTGTCATACAGTACATGGAACTATTCACTTGTTACAGCAGGAATTTAATGGACGACTCATCTCACGTAACAGTGAGGTGACTTGGCCACGAAGATCATGGGATCTTATGCCATGCGACTTTTTCCTATTTGGATTCGTAAAGTCCAAAGTATATTCTGCTCAAATGAATAATAGTCCTGAAGGCAGAAATTCGGAGAGTTATTTGCGAAAGCGTGATACAGAATTTTCTTAAAAGAAGTCGTGTATGCCAAACGAGGACATATTATCTGTCCGATATCCTCTTTCATATTTAATGACAATGTCTACCCTTTAGAAATATGTGGAAACTTTACCAACTTTTTAATTATCTAATGATAGTTATTTATGGTACTAGTGTGTTACGATATACCTATACCGGGTGTTCAGAAATAGTGGTACTTCACTTTGAGGGTAGATTTGTCGATTAAAATTTAGACAAAAATTTCATATAAACATGGATCCGCAAATCCACCTTACGGGAAGTAGACGCGTTTGAAGATGACTTTAAATAAATGGGTTTTTGCCAATAACTTTTAACTGCTTTGAAGGAGAGGAATAAGTTTTGGGTGATAAGTTACTACTAAAGTGCAAAGAATTATTTGGTTGTACAAAAATATCTAGAAATTAGCTGAAAATTTTTTTTTTTTTTTCATAAATTGTGGTCATACCCCCTCGGTTTACACGCCATGGGTTATAACCTGGATCAACTAATACCCTCAAATAATCATGTTTCTTAGTAGTAGTAACTTATCGTCCAAAACTTATCCCTCTCCTTCAAAGCAGTTAAAAGTTATTGACAAAAACCCATTTATTTAAAGTTATCTTTAAACGCATCTACCTCCCGTTGCGTTGGGTGGATTTGCGGACCCATGTTTATATGAAATTTTTGTCTAAATTTTAATCGACAAATCTACCCTCAAAGTGAAGTACCACTATTTCTGAACACCCTGTACAAGTCACGCTGGGAAATGTTGCTAAATTTCCCAAGTGACTTATATGACGTAACACACGCGTGCCATACAAAATTTTATCCAACGCTCATAGAATTTCGTTTTTTTAATAATAAATAAAAGTAACTTAAAATTTCAAGTTGTCAATGTCAGAAAAAGTAATGAATGTATTTTTAAATATTACAAAAGGATGCGGTCGGTATATGTATAACCAAGGGTTATCAGTAAACAAACAATATTTGTTGAGTTGAAATCACGTTGAAATCCTAAAACCAAGACTGAAAAAATGGAAAAAGTAGAAATTCCATCTGAAATTTTAGAAAAAGCTAATGCGGCTACTGCATGCATTATTCCGGAGAAATCAAAATCCACAAAAATACAACAAAAAACTGAAAGAATTTCAGGATTGGAAAATCAAAGAAGGGGTGAAAGGCGTAAATGAAGATGTCTTGCTGGCTTATTTTTTTCAATTTAAGTAAGAAATTAGCTCCATCCACATTGTGTCAAAGTCAACTTTGAGAATTTACAAGAACATTGAAATTTCTAAATTCGGAAAACTAGTGACATTCCTAAAATCTAAGCACAAACATTTTCAATCAAAGAAATCCAAGGTCTTAGAAAGAGAAAAAATCGAACAATTTTTGCGTGAAGCCCTAGACGAAAATCATCTTATGAATAAGTTAGGTTCTACTGAATAGTTTAACTGAGTTATATTTGTTAAATTTGTTGTTTTTAGATGACGTTGATATTAGAAGTTTTTGGCACTTGCCGTTGTGAGGATTTGACCCATCTAAGCATAGACAATTTAGAGGACAAAGGGCAGTATATCCACATTACGATTTCAAATACTAAAACGAACAAACCAAGAAGCTTCGCTGTGTTAAATGAAGGATTTTGTGTTAATCCAATTGGATTAATTAGGAAATATTCTAAGCTAAGGCCTCAAAATGTGCAGCATAAAAGGTTATTTTGTAATTTTCAAAAGGCTAAATGCACACGTCAATGTATTGATATTAATAAGCTATAAAAAATCCCTAATGTTGTTACGCGATTTTTGGGCTCGACAAATTCTAATTTATATGAGGGGCATGGCAACTCTCTTGGCCAATGCTGGAGGGGGTATTACAACATTCAAACGCCACGGTGGATGGATGTCATCTACCGTGGCAGAAGGTTATATAGAACAGTTAATTTCCAGCAAAATTGATATTGCTAAAAAGATACAAGGGGTGCAGACTCCTGAAGCAAACACAAGCAAAGGGGCAACCTGTTCTATAAATTTACCACAATCACAAAATGATCCCAATAATCCTTTGGCATCAAATTACGGCTTTACCATAAATGTTAATGTTAATATTAATAAGTAGGTAGATTGTAAGTTTGTAGCATTTTAGGTTATTTGTTGATTACTGTTTCAAATTGATTTTCTAATAAAAAATAGAAAAATAAACTAAACATTTGTCTTTTTATGATTTCTATAAGTCACTAGTGGGTTATAAGTCATAACTTACTAGTGACTTATGACTTAATAACTCACTAGTGACTTATAGGTCACATTATTCTTTAAAAACCAAATATATTATAATATCATTATATACAAATGTTGGATAAAATCTTTTCTCGTCATATGAAATCCAGCTTTTCTTTTGGGACACCCATGAAAACAGATAAATATTAATTTTAAATTTCCAGTCGCTTAACTAAACTAAATTACTAAACTACCGAAAATGTATTAGTATATAATATGCGATTAGGTAATAAAAATAATACCATTACAATAACGACTAGTAATAAATAAATAAAGAAAAAGTCTAAATCTAATCTAAAACAAATAAAAAAGTGACAAGCTTGAATCATAACAAATATCCTATAACTAGATTGATCTACTTACATTAAACCATCAAATTTAGCCTGTACTAAACTCACCTTCCCAATATCTTAAGTATTTGAAAGATAAACCATGCTATAACTTAATTTTGTATGTAAAAAGATTATAGAAAGCATAATGTAAAAGCGGATTCCCTGAACTGATTTCAGTTTGTTGTAGTCTTCATTTCCATCTACCTTACATAATTTTTCCCAATTTGATATCAATGAGAAAGATATCAAAACTTCACTACCTAAAAAAAATCAGAATCTGAGCTAAGTTTGCAGTTTCGTATATTACACTTATTACTATTTCCAAGTTTACATTTGCACTTTATTTCCATCTGTCATACATTGTCGCATAAACAATTAAAGATATATACATCCCTAGGAAAATTTGATTTATCTATATTTTTGTTTTTGATTTTGGAATATTTCCAAAAAGTTATTAAAATTGTCCAAAAAATATAATCAATCCCGCCTAGTAAAGTATATACCGAGCCTTCATAAATGTTTACCAGCCTCGAGATCGCCGAGCTTAGACAACCAACACTCCACAGTTGGTACTGTCAACTAAAAATCCCTAAATCTTAGCCTTGCCAATATTAAGGATTCGTTTACAATGAACAATGACAAACCGTTACGAATACGCTCGTGATAATGCGATCGCTGATTGGTTGAATAAAATCTCGTGAAAATTACACATATCAAAATGTCTTAATGTAATCTTGATCTTATTGTTCTAATTTTAATGAAATTTAAATGTAAGAAAGGATGTCAAGGAAATATAATTACTGATCTCAACAAAATTACTGGTCACGTGGCTTGTAATCATTTATGACGGCTCTATAGTAAATAAATAAGTTGTAAAGAACAAACTTACAGGAAATAAATGTCATATGAAGATATTTTAAACGCATTCGTAGTACAAGTTACATCTACATAAGAAATTAAATTACTTTTCTTTAATTCTTCATTTATACGCAATTCAGTAAATTTTCTAATCGCTATCATATTACTGGCTTCCGTTTTTGGAACACATAAAGCTCTATGTATGATACTTCGATCGTAACTGTATGGATCACCTTTGGACTCCTGAAATTTAAATGTTTAAAAAATTAATTTATATTTCTAAACAATTTTACGTGGATACATAAATCTACGTACTATTTGATTTAGGAATAAAACTTACATTAATTAGTTGCCAAAAAGTATTATTTTCATAGATATTATTTCTCAATATCACATCTGCTTTGCAGTATAAATCATTTCTGTTCATGCATGCAGTGTAGTTCTCCATTTCATAAATAGGTGGCAAAATTCTATACTTTTCTGAAACAAACAATTTATTAACTTATTATCTGGTTAGGAGTTTTTACTTTGTTCTATCGTACAATTAGATAGGTTTCTTCAATTACACAGCCTCACACAAAAAAAATTGTCTGTACTTTTCATGCGACATATTATTATGTTATCCGTAGTATTTTTGCCTCACGAATCCGGTGTCAGAATTGAGCTATCACATCACAGGAATTTCCTAACCTCAAAAAATTGATGGTTCTTTTTCTAACCTTTTTCTAACCTCAAAAAAACGGGTCAATTAAGGTCAGATATCACGAATTTTCAAAAAATAACAGATTCGCGCCAAATTTGGTATACGGGGGTTTTCGGGTCGCTGATCACGTGATCATGGATCGAGGTCAATTTTGCAAAATTCAAGATGGTGGATCAAAGATGGACCAACAAATTTTCAAAAAATGACACATTCGAGCTAAATTTGGTATACGGGGGTTTTCGGGCTCGCTGATCACGGATCCGAGGTCAATTTTGCAAAATTCAAGATAGCGGATCGAAGATGACCGACCAAATTTTCAAAAAATAACAGATTCGCGCTAAATTTGGTATACGGGGATTTTCGGGGTCACTGATTACGAATTCGAGACCGTTTTTTTGAGATTAGAGAAAGAACCATCAATTCTGACTACGGATTCCAGTTCGGTGAGGTCTTAAACATATAAATGAACATTTGAAAATAGAAAAAAATTTCTTATATTTTTCCATGCACTTTTCGTGAATTTTTGCTATTTTTGACGGTTTTTTTGAGATTAGGAAATTCCTGTGATCTGATAGTTCAATTCTGACAAGGATTCGTGATCAGGAAGCAAAAATACTACGGATAACATATGTCGCATGAAAAGTACAGCATGCAATTAATATGACAGTTAAATAAATATATTAATTTCTTACCAATATATGCAACTGAAAAGGGTAGATAAAGTAAAGCCGCAGCTAAAATCCCGTACATTATAAGTAAAAAGGTAAAGGCCAAAAACGTGGTAACCTGAATCAATAAAAACATAAGTAATTATCAGAAACAAAGAAAAATGTGTTCAAAGTAATTAATTCAATGGAATGAAAAAATAAATCAGGTCGCACTTTATATGTTTAAGAAAACCAAAGGACTATTTATTTGGCAATAAAAATACAAAAAGGAACAGATTATATGACCTCTTCACTTTGGGTTGAATACAGTTCGTTATACTGTACCTTCCTATTGATGTATTGTTGTTTAGTATTTTTAACAATAAATTTAAGAACACCTTATCAAAATATAATCGTATAATAGTTATATAAACTTAGCCTTTAAATTAATACACTGCATTGTTAAAATTGTTTTAGTTAGTTTTTTTAAGTCATTTACAATAACTACACACTGTTTAAGAATTTAGCATTTCGTAATTTCACTAATAATACTTCACAGATAGTTTGAATTTGCCTATTATATGCACTAAAACAAACAGCTCAACGCGGAATTGATACAATATATTTCTATAATAACATACTGATCTAATGAGACTAAAGTGAATGTCAGAAATAATTTTACAACGTAGCCTTGACAATATACCCACAAGGCTCATTCGAATTGCTTTCTAGAGAAGTTTTTTTGATTCGGATTTAGCGGGTCAAAATACTATAAAAAATACTGCTTTAATAATAATACGAGAACCTTTTTAGTTTTCAATTTAACCTTATTGATCGAAATAGCTACATATTTCTATTTGATTTAATTCAATTCAATATTAGAATTGATTTTGTACAAAACAAAAACCTGTTTACTAGAGCAATTTAATTTCATTAACAAAAGAAGTAATTTAACATGCTGTTATACAAATATCAGTTACATATGTCTAAATACATGTCTAGATTTGATTAAAATTTAGTTCTTGCAATGATTTTGCATCAGCGTGGTAACAGCTTGTATCGAACTATAGATTTGAGAGAATCCATATACTCCCTAGTGTTGTGACAACGCATAACTCATAATGATTTATTGGTGACCTTTTTTAAGAAACAACTAAAACAGCTCTATGTTAGGGTACCACATACTTAGTATAAATTCCTTCTTACGATGTAGGGCCAGTAGAACTACGGGGATGAAAATGTTATAAGCGATCGAATAAATCTTACATTAATAGTGTATGTTGTTTTTCTGTTTGACATTGCTGATGGTTTTTGTGTAGCTTAAATATTTGATCTATGTTGATACTTGAACTCCTGAGTTATTTCATGCTTCATAAACTATTCCAAGAAAAACTTCTACATTCTACCGAAAAAGGATCGTCTCTGAACATTTAAAAATTTCAAATAATGTTATACATAACTGATTCTTGTAGCTGATAGGAATATATAAAATAGAAGAGTAACTACTGCAAATGATATTAAAAATAATATACTTGAAATGAAGTAAAATTTCTCATCTCATAGTGGAAAAAATATTGCTTTTACTAGTCAACATAATAAACCATGATTTTATTTAAAGTCAGCTGGCATACAGGGTGTTTCTTAATAACGTGCTAATATTTAAGGAGGATATTCTTCGGTCCATTTTAAGAAAAAAACTTCATATGAACATATGTCCTAAAAGTCTTAACTTTTAAACTACAGGGTGCTAAAGTTTTATGAAAAAACATTTTTTTATGATAACATATATGGCATTACCTTAGAATTTTTTTTAATATCGGTACACGCCTTTATTCATCGAGATGCATTTTCTGATGTACAAACAATTTTATTAGCGTCTGTACAGGTTTTGTATTGAATATTTTTGAAGAAAAATATGTTACGCCACTGCTTTTTCGTAAAGTAAAAATCATTTTTGAAATCCTCATTCCTTTCTGTGGGGTCATGATTTTTTTTTTGTTTGGCGTACGGTTTTCGCATAAAAAATAAAATTCATTCATTTGTACGCTGTTAAGAAATTAGATACTAATGAGAATTAAAAACGATGTATTAGTCCAGTCGGGTTAGACAAAAAAAAAGGGCTTAACCGGTAAAAAATTGGGGACCACAATTTTATTGTTCTAACCTTTAGGGGGGGGGGGGGGGTCAATAGTAGTGTAAATTCAGAATCGCGACTGAATTCCACCCCTGTATCAGCCGCCATCTTGAATTTAAGGAAAAATTGTTTTTGCTCAATATCTCCGACATTTTCAACCTTACAACAAATGATAGGGACATAAGTTGTTGCAAATGCGATTTCCTACAACTTCTTTATTTACAAATTTTATCGTGCGGTCGATATTTTTCAAGTTAAGGGGGAAAATAGTGACAAATTATAATTATTGAATTATCTCGTTTGTTATTGACTTTACGACATATATATACATAAACAAAGTTGGGAAGAATTATATTTTCTACAATTTTAATCTCTGATTTTTTCGCTACTACCAACATTTAAGGTCCTACACCTATGGCAAGCTTAGTCAAGGGATCAACATTCCATAGACCTGACGTCACCGGCAGCTGGCCATGAACAAGAATAGTCCAAACTTTATAAGAAAAAATAAATTTTAAAAAACATGGCTTACCTTTAACGCTTGCAAGAAACTTTTATAAAGAGGAAGACGGCAGAAGTCGCAACTATCTTGCAAGCAATGACACGTGGATTAGGCCTATTGGGGATACCACATAAAAAAAACGCGCCTGAAACTCTACCCCGGTGGTGGCGTGGAAATGAGTTTGCAAAAACGATTTTCATATTGCTCTGCGCCTTTACCGCAAGCGTAGAACCGTAAATGTTGGTAGAAGCGAAAGGGATCAAAATTGTAGAAAATATAATTCTTTCCAACTTTGTTTATGTATATTTATGTCGTAAAGTCAATAACAAACGAGATAATTCAATAATTATACTTTGTCACTATTTTCCCCCTTAACTTGAAAAATATCGAAATCGCATTTGCAACAACTT